TCAGCGTCAAATATAGCAGCGTTCCAATTTTTTTTTTTGAAGTGGTTTGATCCACTTCACTCCCTTTAGGCCATGACTGCAGCTTTACATTTCATGATCTTGGACTTTTTTCTTAGCGTCTTCTGGCAATGGTGTGAAAATCTCCCACAAGAGTTTTCCTCCAATTAAAAACATGCTCTCCTCTTTTTATTCCCGTGGCTTCAGTGTGATGGTTTTATGGGTGATGCTGGTCTTCCCTATCTGCCCCTCCTGTTTTGTTCTTTAAGAAAGCTCTTGCTTTGAGTTATGTTCTGACCTTGCAATGTACGGAAAAGAATGGATGGAGTTGTTAGTGAAGAGCTGCTGTATGTGGGTGAAGTTCTCTGAGCGCCACTAGGTTGTGTCTCCACACAGAATGTATTTTTTTGCCTATTATTCCTATATACTGTTGTTCTATCTTATTTTTAACTGTTGTTGTTCTTTAGGTATTTGATTGGGGGTTTGATTCCAGACTGTGCTGCTTTAGGCCACCGTAGGCCTCCTGACTTTATCTATTGGCTTATATTTACCAATATATATCGATGAGCTGTAGCTGGCTCTCTATCTTCTAAAGCACATATATCATAGTATTTGTGTGGTTGTCATAAAGGCAGTATTATACAGTATAAAGATGAGTACCTCACATTTCTAGTTTCTCTAATCCCAGTTCTAATCCTATGTTTTAACTACATCTCCCATAGTGCACAGGGATTTTGTGACCTGTTTGTCCCGCAATTTAGACGTGTGTCAAATGTCATGAGTGACTTGAGTTTGGCAATACCCTGTGTGACCCTGTGTTCACAGTGGATACTCCCAAAACAAAATAGCTAACAAACTATAAAATGCTTACACAGCAACTGATCAGAAAGAGGAAGGGCTCCATTTTAGACAGAATTTCCTCTTGAAGTTCCTTATCTGAGTGCTGAGTGTTGTTGAAGTGACCGCTGTGTTCAACTGCTGCTAATTTACTACCACTGATATGATATAGGAGCCTTATTATGTTTGCAGTGCTCCTGTGAGGTCACCAAAATGTATAATGTTTACTTAAACAAGACGTGGTATCCACAGAGAGACACACACACACACTGTGTATTTTTAGTCATACTTGATGCATCTGAGCCCAGTCCAATCACTCTTCCCTACCTTCTATCATCCCTCTGCAGTATTGGTATGGCAACATTGGCACAGCCACACTCCTACTCTCTTCCCATCTTAGTCATAATGCCTCCCTCATGAGGCACCAGCTGAATCCCTCTCCCAACCATCGATGTGTTTGGTCACTTCCGTGTGTTTTCCCTCTGTGCCTTTATCACGTTTGTGCACACACACGCGCTATCATGCAAATGCTGTCTGAGTGCTGGCAGGGTGAAGAAGAAACAGGATTCATTCAGAGTTCAGTCCCAGAGTCCTGAGTTTCAGACAGTTCTTTAGGTACGTTTGGTGTTTGTTTTTTTTGTGCAGATGTGAAGAGAGCGAGAAAAACTTACATTGTGATGTCCAGATTGGTCATTGTATTTGGATTACTCCTTCAACTGTGGCTGTCATTCCTACTGACATGACAGTCTGAACAGGGCAGAACTGAGAACAGGTCACAGAAGGACTCTCGACCCTCCAGGCCCATGTTCACGAGCAGCAACAAGGGCCTTGGTTAGTCTTATTTCTAGTTGACGAGTTGAGTTTAGATTTACACAGTGTGCACAAATTCAACTATTTTTATTTGAATAATCGGGTGTTTTGGGTCTTACTTTATGATCTGTGTTTGACACATTACAAGTCATGAAAACTGTCATCGTATCGGTTAGAAACATAACCAAATGTGTTCTATGTTGCTAAAGTTCCAAAAACATGGATGCCACCAAAATATTGATATGACTACTACAAATGGAGAGCACCTCTTCCCTCCAAAAGTCTCACCTCTACATCCCATACTGACAGTTGGAGAGCTCTGACATCCATACCAGATCTATTCTTTTCTGTCACGTTCGCGTCTAACTACCTTTTGCATCTTGATCAAATTGTACTGCCGAGAACCCAAACCCACAGACTCCATAACTTTGTTAAGTGTTTAGGTCAGGATATCCTGTCTCCATAAAATAAACATAAACTATCAAATGAAATCAGGAGTGGTCATAACTCAGAGGGTTCTGGGTTCCAGTCCAACCAGGGTCTGTCTCTATTTGGGTTCGGTACCAGCACTAGGTGTTTTGCTTCAGATGGAGTTGAACCCATTCTGGGTGAATTACACACCATGTTCAGTGGTGAGAAATCTTACTGCATGAACACCAAAGGAATGTCTCCAGTCACTTGGACTCAATACAAAAATGAAACAATTAAGATGGAGGAAATGGCAGCATGTGGAAGATGTTTGTTTTTGTTTCCTTTCCTTGGGACTACTTGGAAGCAGGAGGGGTGAGTCGGCGGCTCTGCATACTAGCCACTAGATGTCACTAATTACAACACACAGAACTTTAATAATTGTAGCTCTTTTGCAAATGTGTGGTGTGGACACAGCAGTGTAACTTTAGTCCCTTCAGTTCTAAACAGGTTTCATATTTTAGTGCACAGTGAACCTTTACAGATCTAACTGAGGGTTAAAATCTGATGGAAGAAAAGAAGAATAACAACTCTGGCCTTTTACTCTGACTCTGCAAGACTCAAAAAAGCTTCTGCAGATGAAGAGAGAGGTGACTTTAAAAGCGCTCCCTAAAGATCATGAAAACAATATGGTGTCTTGTTGTTCAGACGGTCATATCACCATCTGTGTCCATAACTGGTCTGTACTCTCCAAGGTTTCATTTTGCTCCAAAGTTTCTCGCCCCCTTTGTCCGGTTGAAACACTTCAAGTACTGTTATTTCTTTGTGTGAGAAGACAGCCTTTCAGAACATTTTTAAATTCAAGTCGATTTGTCATATGGCTCCGCTGAAGCCCCGTGCCGTTAAAAGGCGGCCTAATGTTGTGGCCACAATCGTGTCATTGACTGAGTGCTTCAGCACATTTAACGTCTCTGAATGTACGTTGTGACAGAGACAAAAGCGAGCAGGGAGCATGTAAAAAGCATAATTGTTGGGAGGCCCGCTGAAGGGCTCCACATGCTCTCGACCCACTCCCCACTAAATGGCCAACAGTTTATTTAAGAGGACAAATAGGTCAAACCGTTTCCAATTATCCCTCAATCGAAGGCAAGGATTTTCTTCTCCTTCCTTTTTTTTGTCCTTTTCCCTCCTCCCTACGTTTTTCCCATGCAGTGCGAGGAGCAGCAGTCTTAGTGAAGTGCTTTAGCAAAAGAACAGGCTGAACCACTGTCTCCTCTGGACCTGTTTATGTAGTATATGTTGCTGGACAGTCCAACAACAACATGAACATGTTGAGTCAGAGGAAAAAGCCCAACTGTTCTCTTCATCCACGGCCACTCTGACATTTTATCCATCAGCCTAATTGAGTGAACCTCATTGATCTTGGCTCGATTCCCCAGTTGACAAGGATCCCATTGTCACAGTGACAGTGATTATGTTTGCTTGCTGCTGGTGTATTTTCGCTCTACATCATGAGTGAGGAAAGTGTCCTGTGCAAAGTGTGAAAATCTATCGTTTCCAAATATATAACTTGGTTTAGAAGAAATGTATTCCCACGGGGCAGGCTCCTCTATATATTTTTTTGAAAGTGTGGCCAGATTTGAAAATATAAGAAATGCCAAGAGTTGCCTATAATTAAGTGCAGGTCACCAATTCTGAAAGACTAAGTTAAAAATATTTGCATCTGAAATCAGAATTAAAAAGGACTGTCAGAAAACTAAAAGCCAAAAGTTCTCAAAGAGCAAACTACCGATACATTTATATTAATGAAAAACAAAACTCAAAGTTGGTCTACAGATACCTAACGATTTAATTTAGCTAAAGGTCAGCTTAAGTTACACTACAAAAACCTAAAAGTTAACAGGAAAACATAGCTAACTGTGTGATATTTTGCCAAATAGTTAGTTGAAATTTGTCAAAAGATAACTAAGCGGTTAACTCTAGATAACTAAATGGTATCATATGAAAAAGCACCACACAGCCATATGTGCTAAAGGATAGCTGGAATAACCTTTAAGTTAACCTAAAACACCTACTAGTTGTAACAGGGTGAAATAAAGCTAGCTCAAAAATAACCAAGGTCAACAACAGCTACGGAGTAGATACAGCTGATGAGTATACAAACCTAAAAGTCCTTAAAAGTTAGCATGAAGAAGGAGTCAGAATGTAATATAAAGTAGTAGTCAAGACATTGCCTATTGTGAACTCTCTGAGATCGTTCTGAAATAGTTTGGAATGATTTATTACATTTAGCTGAGCATAATCAAAACTTAGCCAAAGAAGAATATAAAGTAAAACACAACATAAACCAGGAAGATAAATGTTAGCAAAAAGGTGCAAAAGATAAGTAAAGTTTTCCTCTAAACTGAAAGAAAAAACAAATTCAAGTTAGTCAATAAGTAATAAATGTTAGCCAGAAACTACAAATGAGCTAAATAGCTAACCAAACATGTGAAATGTGTTTATTTGTGAATCTATTAAAAACCCTCTAAATGTCTCCTTTAGTTTCTATCAGTGTCGTGCGTTTGTGTGATTTTAAGTGAATCACACACACACACACACACAGGTTGCTGAGTGTTTCGTTGTGAGTCATATAGAATCCTCCCACACGTTGTGACCTTTCAGTTGCTCCTCATATTCTAAATATCTTTTTTAAACAAAGGGTGTGTTTTTCACTGCCCGACTGTTGCGTAATTCTGTGCGCACCTCTCATTTCCTTGGTCATGTCTTTGATTTGTTTAAACTGTATTTTGGATTAGAAAAGAAAAGTCAGAGGAAAGAGGAAAATACAATGAAAAGGAATGAGATTTTTCTTTTTTTTTTATGGGGAGGGGGGGGGGGTGCGTGCTCCAGATAAGTCGGATGCAAGAATCCTCAGTTGTTGTTATTTAATTTGCAGTATAGAACATTAACTTTTATCCTCTATGCTTTTGCACCGTATTAGTTGCTCCCAAAAGTGGCTTGAGGGAGAAGTGCGCACAAACTTCATCCATGCGCAATTTGGAAACTTTAAAGTGTCTTTTTACGCACGCTGCTATTCACTTCTAGTAACAAATGAAATGACTTTTGCAGCTCATAGTCAAATAACACAATTTAAACTTGTGGAATGACATAATGTCTTTGGTTAAGAGGGTAAAAGAATCCTGTAAACGTTTAATTTCTGTGCGCAAACAGGAGATATTTGGCTGAGAGGCTGTCGATGCAACAGCTCCTTCTTCATCGATGACCTTTAAAAGAAACCACAGCCCATCAGATAACTGAACAGGGCCACCGTGTCTTTGCATTCTGACTGTGCGTCAGCCCACACAGCAGGCAAATAGTCAAATACTCGCCTGGCAGCCTGCATGAAGCGAGTGCGTGACACGCCCCAAAAAACACGCACACGCAGGATAAGTTAGAGCTCGAGTGTCGTCTGACGGTTTGATTTGTTTTTCTCTGAGTTGTTTTTTTAAACTTACATTCGCACAGGACATCGTTAAAGTTTTGTTTATTATAATTTAAAAAAGAAAGGGCAGTGCACACACACAAACACACACGGTAGGTGAAATGGGCGTGTGTCAGGGTTTGTCTTAGTTGTGATGAACGACAGAATGCTTAATACGCACTTTTTATTTTCCTTCGTATAACGCCGTTGTTCGTGTACTCCTTCGCACATATTGCTGCAGATTTTATTTTACTTTTTGCATGAAATTATAATAACACTGCACATACTTGACACCAAAGACCCGGCCTCTGTGACAGATGACCTGCAACGCAGAGACAGGAGAACACCTGCGTCAGACATCTCTGGAGGTTTGACACTTTACACCGAGCATTAACTAGTTCCCCCGGACTGGGTTGGTGGTAAAGAAAGGAAAGGTTTTGTGTCGCGTTGCAACAATACTTACTTTAACTCATCCCCTTAAAGAGGGATATTTTACCAATGTGCAAAACACCGCAAAAATACCTTTGGAAAATGTCATGTAACAGGTGTGGTATGACTTAAAAAACGTGTTTTTTCATTTGTTTTTTATCTTTAACATATCATTGACAATCTGTTTTCCTCCAGTTCGTGTGCAGGACACGTCTCTAACGGAGAGGCGGGGGTCATTTCTATTGAGTTTGAGTTTTGTAGCTCAACAAATTACTGCAAAGTTCCATTTTGTGTAGAGAAAAGTCTGAACTAATCTTAAATTAGTACACAACTACACATACGAAGCAGAGGAAGGATAACGTGCACCACTGAGGCCTGGCTGTGTCCGAGGTGTCCTGCTAAGTTGGACTGCGAATCATGTCCATTTTTATCGATACATCCTGTTAACTAACTATTGTAACTTTACACTAACCAGCATTTTAACTTCCAGTCTTTCTCTTCACATTCGTGAGGTAAACAGGTATGCCACAGGTTGACCACAGCCTGGAGCGGTAAATGAGTCAAAAATGACCCTCCGTGTGCACGTTTTTTTCTTCTTCTTCTTCATTTTTGTATCGCTTTGTCTTCGATGCGTTTTCTGGCGTGTGTTGTCAAACAGCATGGCGTTGTGAGGGGCGAGGGCGGGGGTCTGTAGCCGGTGACTCCGTTGACACTAACAACTTCCTGACGCAACGCTGCTGTAACAGCGGCAGGGAAACAGGCAGCGCTCACCTTTTTATATCCACTCAACCTACAGTACATGATCCTATTTCTGCATCTATAAGCCGTCTGTCTGCACTCTGTGTCTGTCTGTCTGTCTGTCTGTCTGCCGAGGTTGTACTACAGACTGTTTTGGGTTTGAAGTGTTCAGCCCCGGCGCTGGTACTTGTTGCGTTGCCCTGTGTCCCCGGCAAGCAGGAAATCAAAATACCTGTCCTGCTGTGTCCCAACTGTCCTGCTGGTTTGCAGTAGAGTTACATGTCTCTTCTCCTGCCACAAAGGGACGACAGTAGGAAGTTCTAACTTTGGTTCAATATTTAGGTTGAGTAATCCAAAGAGTTTGAATCGGATGGAAATGAATACGAGGCGTTTATTGCTGAGGTAGCAGGGCAGTGAAGGCGTCACTGAGCCTGTCTTCACCGCCCAGCAGTGTCCGGAACTGGCACAGTTTGGAGTGGAAACAGAGCAAAGGCGTGTGTGGAAGGTTGAACTCAGGTTGAGAAGCTTGCAGCTTTAGTGGATTAAATAGATAACGAGAAAGAAAGATTGTGTGCAAATCCTAATCTGCAGAAATCCACGGGGTTGTGTATGCAAAGGTCTCCTCTCTGCCGTGCGCACTGGGCGCACGGAGGTGTGGAGCACCGAGTCTGGGTCTTTTCAGAGCCTTTGGGACCTGGGCGGCCGTGTGCCCTGTCTGATTCACTTGGAAACGATGATCATGATCGAGAATTTAGTCGATAAGACGACTCGGTGACCTCTTTTGGTTGGATGTGTGTTTTTTGTGTGTGTGCGTGTTGTGCTCGGCCCTGCGAACTACACAGGCTTCAGTTGCGCTCTATAGTGTTTGTGTCAGAACATGAGTAAATGTCCCCCCTCTCTCTCTCTCCCTCTCTCCCTCTCTCTCTGTCTCTCTCTCTCTCCGTCGCTCTCAGTCGTATCCACCGCTCCGCCCCACCACCACCACCATCACCACCACCTCCTCCTCCCCCCCCCCCCCCCCCCTTTTCGCAACATTGACGCAACCAAAAACACTGGGAACAAAAGAAACAACTTCCTTGAAGCTTTGCTGAAACTGCACTTAGTCGGAGGACGCGGAGGGCTGGTTGTCAACCAACTTGCCTTGGAGGATGGACGCTTCGAGGTTGAAGGTTGTCACCGCGGACTGACCGGCTGGCAGAGAGGAGAAGAGAGGAGAAAGAAAAGATGCGGAGTCGATCACTCCGGTACGCATCCAGCCCTCACCGAGTAAGTGCCGTATGAGGACTCACTGGAGTCATTTCAACTTTTGGTTCCTTTGTGTGACAGGGAAATCTAGCGGAGTTTAACAGCCTCCATTCGTTGTAGTCCAGGCTGAAGTAAAGTCCATTTGTAAATGCCGCTCGCTGTCGAATAGACTTCGTATATAATACAATATTCGCCCTAGTGACATTCGAAACGTTCCCACAGTCGGAGCGGTGTTTTGCACACACGCTGTTAAATGAAATGCTAAGTTTGGACCATTCATAACACAGCTGTCAACAACGGCAACAATAAAAAAGACACGGTGTTGCTTTCATTGTGACAGAGAGGGGACTTTATATGTGAAGGCGACTGAGAAAAGACAGTGTTTATTCAAAATACTAGTGTTGAGTATTTGACCGGACTTCAACTGCGACTGTCACTTATTTTATCGCTCATTGTTTTTATGCACCATTCGCCGGTTGCATGAGAAGATCCCGGTGATCGACAAACAACAATGACCACAGTGAAGCACTGCGATCATTTCATAATTCTGTAGATATTACTATTATTTATTCGGAGTACATGTGCTGTCGTTGTAGTTGTCCACCCGTGTGTAAGTTCGCTCCGGACTGTGATCCGCAGTTAGGGCGGACGACGCTCGGTGGCTCCGTGTCGCGTCGGTGTTTTTACTGCATGAACAAAGAGCTGGATGGAGTAGTCGGCTGGAGCGTCGGTGGAGGAGCAGGCGGGCTGTTTACAATAATAACACGATCGAGATGACGTCACCTGACTGACGGCCACCTCGGTCAATAGGGAAGCGGCGTGGCCATCAGCAACACGCTATATTTGGAAAGTGGTTACATCATCGAGGTACAGCGACGGCCTACGGTGGGAGGGACTTCCGTTGGAATAGTCAGTTTGTAGTCCAGAAACAGGACAATGAGTGGATCACCGTGGCTCTCTGGAGCTTCACAACTGTGTTGTTTTTTTTGTTTTTTTGGATGTTGACATTCACCTTTAGGCTTGGTTTTACTTTTGGGGTTTTTAGATGATTTCAATTAGTCTTTAAAGCCCGGTGACTTAATACTCTTTTAGACTGCTAGAGACAAAAGATCATTGACCTTATGTAAGAAATGGACATGCCTTAACAAATAGAGTGGTGGATGTTTGTAAGAGAATTATAGTCACATATCACACATTTTTAGTGTCAATAATAATTTTCCTCAACAGTTTATGATCACAATTACTATTTTTACATATTTATAATGATAGTCAAGCTGTCAATTAATTGTGGTCTACACTCACATGGGCCATTCCTTGTCATCTTGACATCAATTTTCACATTTACAAGTCCATTTAGTGGAAAACAGTCAATAAAGCTTGACAAGAGATGTGGCAAAAGAAGTAAATTGAAAAAAATTGAATGGGGAAAAATTGTACTTCATTAACTGTCTAATTATAGAAAGTTCAAGGGATTTATATTTTTAATGCAAAGGCTACGTCAATTTCTTATCAACCTAAAAGTGGTCCCTCCGCTAAGATCTTTTGAGATCATTTTTATTGTGTAGGATTCACTTCACTGCACTAATAACGATAGTAAGTGTATTTGTCAGCGTCTGTAGTAGCACTAAAAAATTAGGACAGACCTAATCTTAATTATAAAGTGCATTTTGACCATCAAATGCACCCTCTGTCTTTACCTATAATGCACCATTATCATACAGTCAGGTTACGTCATACTTGATATGGGACCTGTAATGACTCATACTGATATGTTTCCAAATCACTTGATCTGTTATCGGATACATAACATAACATTGAGTGCAGTGCAACATTTTCCAAGTGTCATAGAAATGCTACGCTAAGCACAGACTCTTTTAAAGACTGCAAATGTGCCGTCATGGTGAGCAGACAGTGGGTGAAGGCTGCAGGTGTCTGACACACTGCAGTTACAGTTAGGAATGGTTTAGTACCAAAACCCTGACTTCAAACTGCTTGCCTTTTGAATTCATCAGTATTAACGGTGTCGCCCAGTAATGGACCAGTTCAAATACCACCAAATTATGAATTTTAAATATGTCGCGCACAAACATGTCGTCAGCTGCAGGACTTTGACCGTTAATGACGTATTGTTTTTTAGGCAAGCAGTGGCGATGCTCCTGCTACTACTACTGCTGCTGCTGCGGATGATGATGATGATGAAGTCCTCACGCTAAGACTTGTCTTTGTGTGACAGGGGCTCTGATGTCATTCACTCTAGTCCAGAACAGTCTGTGAAATGTTTTTGATCGTTGCTCTTCGTTGAGTCCAAAGGGGATTTTTACAGTGATTTTGTTCATTTCTAATTGCTCAGAGGACTTGGAAAAAACAATAGGCAGTTATTCCTGGCCAAACCGGGAATTGGACAAGTGGTTTGTAGGGGGGTTTCACAAAAACTAGGATGAGCTTCTCTTTAATCTTTTGCCATAACAACATATGACCAACATATGACCAGTAGTCACAACCAAAGAGTCACTGTCTGTGTGTCGGTCAGTTTTTCTTCTGCCACAGCTCTGTTTAATCCGCCGTTTATGTGTCAATGTAAGCTGTTTGTGTTTGGGTTGCTGCAATGCAGATTGCAACACGTCACACATGTATATCTTTATTGTTAAATTTCTTATGAGGGTTTTCATTTATAAAAGTTCATACAGTCAGCCCACAGACAAAGGGAAACTTAAACCCACTCCTTAAATGAACCAATTCCTGAAGATGAAAAGAGTAATGTGGGGTCGACTTCTGTGGAATACTGTAAATTTCTAACATAAACATTCTTCTTGTTGTTACAGCAATGCTTGGTAAATGTTCCTATTTCATTTGTGGTATAATTTAAACTCTTCTTTCGACACTGACTGCAGTCTTTTATATGTCTGGTGAAGAACAGCATGTGAATAAGGTTTTGAGACTACGTGAAAAGTCTAACGTTGCAAAACATGTCATGATAAAATAGCAGGTCATATACGTCCCTGCTTCATGGGATTGGGCTGTAAAAAGTTTTTTAAATTTTAAATTTTTTAAAGTGTAAAAATTGCCGGGTTACACCGGAAAAAAACACTTTTTTTCTTCTTCAGATCAGTCAGATCAGCTTATATATTAGATGGATATACTGTTCTTAGAGGTTTGGATTTATAACCTGACGTTTCACCGGAGCGCTGCAAATTTGTTCAGATGCATCTGAGTGAATTAGGAGGAGCAACCCGTGAAGGCAACAGAGTCAGAAAGATTTTCACAGAGTGATGTTGTTCCCCAGCCTTGTGTAGCGATACTGCATCTGTCTGAGTACAAAGTAATACAGTTAGGGCTGTAGTGAATAGTCTCTTTAATATGTCTGCTATGACTTTTCAGTGTGAGCTCTTTGATTGAGAGTACTCGGCTGAGTGTAGTATTGCACTATTTATTCTCTTCACACTGTGTGCAAAATGTGTCAAGTCAAGTCTGCTTTATTTGTAGAGACCAAAATTGACAAAACACGTTTGACTCAATGGAGTTTACGATTTGAAATAAGAATTGAAATTAAACTTAGAGATATCCACCGAAAAAAGATCTATGAGGGTGAAAATGAGGAGTGTGTATACAGTTAATGTATTTACCAAGTTGAAATTAACAATACAGCAGGACAAAAATCACACACAAGCAGCATTTTAGCAACCGGAAGAAATCTCCAGCAGATCCAGACTCAGTGTTGGTGTCTGCCTTGGCAAAGGGAGAAAGGGAAGGATTGGGGAGACAGCACGGGGGAAGAAAAGAGAGGAGGAAAGAAAATAAGAACAGGAGTAGACATCAACACTATAATATGTAGAGAAGCAAACAAGTTCCACTTTATTAGTTTTGAATTAACAATTCATGCCCTTATAACTTCATTACTTAGTTAATATCGATGACACCTGCTCCGAAATAATTGAGTCTCAATTGATCAGTCACTATGATAACGTTAGGGTCAGTTCTCACATTCAACACTTTTTTATGACAATTTATGTTGAAGTCTCTGTCCCAAAGATACATCATCAATTAAATGTTTAATTGCGATGACAATGTACCAACTTACTAAATTATTAACTGACGACCGTCATTCAATGTAATGTAGGTGAGGCAGAAGTCTGCTGGTAATAGTCTGAGTCAATGAGAAACTTCAACACCATATCCTTTTCTTTATTAGAGGGTTTACTCAAACTGGATTTGATTTATTTTAACGTCCTTAAATTATTCATTACAGCAGCCACTGCCATGCAGTCCTACAACACAGGGTTCTATTTTTCATAGTGAATAAATAATCAAACTGCCCTTTTTTTATATTTTCAGCTGTGTGTCGTGTGTGTCAAACTTAAGTTAAAAATCTGGCATGTGATGACTGTGTTTATGTTGTGCAGTTTGCCAAGCATTTAGTGTAAACATACTGTAAACGCTGTATACAAACTATTTAAAGATGATTTATACAGCGTGAATGCCGTTCTACACGCATGAATAGCAATTCTGGAGAACTTGTTGAAGTGCTCTTGTAGCTGTTGAAAGAGTTCTAGATGGCAGCTGGAAAACAGCAGAGAATTTGAATAATCCTGTGAGGAAGTAGTAAATAGTCCTGTGGGACAGTCTACCAAGTCTCCTTTAGCCTTTTAAATGTCATTACAGTCAGTGACTAATGTGGGAATGAATGTTCTAGAATATAGTTTGCAAATAGCCTGTTGGCCTTGCAGATATTGATCAGTCCTCAGTGATTTACTGATGGATTTCTCGCCTGGTAATTTATTAGAGGTATCCTCCTGTCTCTGAAAAATACCTGATTTTCCAATATACATTATTTTCATTACACTCAGATATCATTAATATGCACATTATAACTCCCCCTCCCCTTCTATTCATTGAAAACTCCTGTGTCCTGATGTTAAGCCTGCCTGTGCTGTGCTCTGCTTTGTCTCTTTATTTATGTTCTAGCGCAGACACTTTTGCAATTAAAGATAAATAAAAAACGCAGACACTTTTTTATCTTCATT